AGACAAAGTTTCATTAATTACGATAACGTAAAACATTTACAAGATTTTGGACCATTTGGATTTATTCACTTCCAAGGTTATTCATAAATGTATGTTGTATGTAGTATGTTGTTTTATAAAATTTAAAGTATATTTGTTCGACCGATTTATGAGATGTTCGTGATTATGGTGTGGGGAACATAAACTGATACATTTTTAACGATTTATCACGCTTCCGATAACCTTTTAAAGCATTATGTTTTGCAATTTCAAAGTTGTCGTAAAATGTTGTTATACATTTTACATTACACGAAATCATAAAATATAAGTGTAGGAGTATGTTATATTATAAAATTTAAACAACATTTAGAATAAAGTATTGTGAGATGACGTCATCACATTGCTGGTGGAAAAATTTAGACACATTTCGATTAGCGTTTAGCCATTTTCACTATAACATCACAATACATATAAAATTTGATAATAATCGATCCAGTAGTTTTGGAGATTATCTAATAAAAATCGATACAGTCAGAGAGCAGGGGGCGGACAGACGGAAACGGGAGTCGTATTTTGCATACCCAAGAGATCATGTAACATCGAGAAAACATGAAAGCAATTGGTCGTTCGGGTTACATGGGATAGATCATAAGATCGAGAATTACTCATCAATGCCATTCGATTACGTAGCATTTGATTCAAAAGCGGAATATCGGTTACATGAACCACGGGAAATTATTGCAGAAAAAAAATCATAAAGCAATTGTCATCAAAATCAAGACGGATTCATAAACCACGAGTACAGAAGTTTATTATTTCATAAATTGAAATAACCTTGAGTGCGCAAAATGATGAGAGGACGTCATCAAATGGTTGGTGGGGTTGGTAAGACAAATTTTGGATAGCGTTTTATTGCTAACACATCTACATATAAAATTTGACGCTTGCTGCCTAATAATTTAAGGCTATAATGCTTTCAGAGTAGGCTGCATAGAATAATAAAGGTATTAATTTGTCTTTTAGTCTTGAAACAACTTTTATAATGTGTGCTAAGCATGTTTGCTATTTTTTATTTGGGTAGCGTCATTTTGTCTTGTGTCTAATTTTCTAATTCCATATTTTAAAAAATAGAATTCCCGTTGTTGTTTCTTTCGAAAAATCTTTGAAAAAACCATTTGACTACCATATATGTAGATTAATTTTAAACTTTGAAATTATCCTGTAGATCGTAAAACGTCACCAAAAATTCTCTCAATATCTTTTCCAAAATAATAGGTATCACAACATTTAAAAAATTTTAGTAAGTAATTCTATTTTAATTTTTGATTTCACATGTAAGATTTGTTTTCAAATTAAAATTTATACGACCAAAATTTTTACTTCCTGAGTGTCAACGTAATAAAATTTCCAAAACTACCGGACCGATTGTTGTCAAATTTAACACATATGGAATATTCTGCAGATGGTAAAACGCTACCAGCATTTGTCTAATCGTCCCTCATCATACTGCGTAAATAATATATATATTCCTGTATTCGTGGTTTATAAATCCTCCTTGATTTGTATAACAATTATTTTTCAATTATTTTTTTTTTTGCACGATAATTTCCATGTAACTCCGCCTCGTGTAAGTTCGAATCCCAATCTTATCGATTTTTTTTTCACACACTACATTTTTTTACTTAAAGGGGTTATTACAAAATATATAAAATTTTTGCAAACTCAAATTTTAACATTTTTCGATCAAACGGATCAAATAAATTAGGAAATGAAGATGAATAAACAAAAAAGTAATGGTGGCAATAAATTACATTGATTTTTTTATTACATTCATTTTTATTCGGAGGACTAATAATTCCTTCAATCCAAAACATACTCAAACAAGTCTTGTAAAGTATTTGTTGCCATAAATCTTAATAGTCAATAAAATCTGTCAGGTTTCCAGAAATGGATACGACTTTAGCTGTGCTTTAGAATCGAGAGAAGTACTGTGTAAATAATAATTTATTTTTTACACATTTTATAGTTACTGTATTTTGTACATTCTTGTTTTACTCCTTTTTTTGTAAGTTCATTTTATTATTTTTGCTTCCTTATACTACATACACATACATACATTACACTTGTATGTTATTATTAGTTGCTTATTTTTTATTGCAAATTTTCGCTATATGTTATTCTCCATTCATTTCGTGATTTCTCTTAACCTTAACCTTCCACTTGACACTCTTTCATCATTAATTTTTATCGTGTTCCTTAATTTGTGCAAAACATCTTCGTGTAACACTTTAAAATATTTCATTTTAATTTAATACATTTGTATGTATGGTGGATGTCCTTGACGTATTATTCACAACCAAATCCTGAATTATTAGAAATTATGACTTTAAATCCCTTTCTTCTTTCTTGTTTCTACAGTTAAAGTTCTCAAAATTTTCAAAATGTCATCGATTTTCCAACCGAATCTAGTTCATTGATTTCCTTCAGAAATTTCTGCTAAAAAATTTCTTATCTGCTATTGAGAATTAACGCTGACACTTTTGTCGAGACATCCAGAAATCACATGCCAATTTTTTTCCAAAACCACTTCTCTTGAATTATATTATAACTTAACTAGTCCAAGTGAATTATTATCTATGAAAGAAAATGTAGCAGCAGACACTTACAGAAAATATTAATTTATTTATCCAGAAAATTGTTTGCTGATGTTGATAATCGTATTTTTCCACTGCAGTCTTTCATTCCACCGCAGTTATTTGCTTGTGGCATGATTTGATGTTCTTTTGGAAAATCCTACTTTCGTACATGACAAACATCTAAGCAAAAAAGGTATCATCCTTTCACATGCACTAAAAATAGTGATACGTGACCATTAATTGGGATTTAATTTAAATCGTTTAGAGATTAGATCTAACATCTGAAACGGTTTCGGAGGGATCGATTTGCATCACAAATACTCAATATAATAACATGCATCGTCGTAAACACAAGTTGAAAGTGAAAACCAGATGAAAGTTATCGTGTGAAGAACTGAAATTAACATTTTAAGCGTATTTGTGCATTCATAAGTCATAACAAATGAGGCAAATTCAAAACATTGCGTAAAGTAAGACATATACATATACATATATTATTAATGTACTAACGCAGAGCAGTACCAATTTTGTAGAAAACTTCGACAAATGTCAAAGTCAGGGTTTATATTTTCAATTTTTAATCAGGCCATTTTTAGATTACAATAAAAACTGCATGTTTTTAAAAAACGATATTTTAATCTATAAATTTTAAATGTTTGTTTATCTAAGTTGTTTGGGTATTTGTGCTTCATTCCGACAATGGACTTGACTAGTTTCTACTTCTCCAAAGGTCAATGTTATGCGGCACGATTTGCATAACAAAATGTTTATAATCTTGTTTGAAAGAACTAGAAACATTGATAATTTTTTTTTTTATATTTTACATATTTTTAAAGATGTAGCCAAAGTGATTTTTTTGGTAAAATTTCTCGATTGACCTCAGTAACTCAGTTACTCAAATCTAAGTTGTACCTACAATTGTCACAGTCATTATGATTTGAGATTTTTATTTTTTCAGTGCTAAGAAACTTATAGGTGGTATAGTATCAATTATTATAAAAATGGCATGGGTTTTCCACTAAAAAACTCAAGGTAACCTAACAGCTAGACAGACGTCCTTGATGTAACCATCCATGTGAAATTAACTGATTTCATTGCACTTTTAAACCAGTTTCATAATTTTTTTTTGCGGTTTATTTTCTATTAATTGAAAAACTATAAACAACTTGTAAAAGTAGAATAAATGTCGTAAATAGTGTGACGATATCATTTCCTGTTTGTTTATTAAAATAATAGTGAATTGCTGTTATTAACTAGTATAATTACGAAAAAAAAAATATTAGATATCTACGAACATATAAAAGCTAATTTTCTTCCTGATTGTTTTTTTATAAAGCGATACTAAAAATAAATAATATTATTTACGTCAGGAGACTGACACTGTGTAAGTCGGAACTGTTCGATTCGCCCTGTATGTTTTTATACCTCTGTACATCCCATAATTTAAATTATGACATTGTTCTGAGGTAACTATCCTTCGAGAGTACCGTATCATATTTGCCAAATTCCACTCATTAATTATTACATTTTTAATCGAAGAAGACGGAACCTCTATACTGATTTATGTAACGACGTACACCTCTGACAGGTTAATTAAAACTTGCATCGGCTCGACTTAACTTAAACATAAATTTATGGGGCCAAAAAATTCATACTAAATTAATTTTTACATTAAGTGCTGACAAAGAAAATGTCAGTTTGTGGCACGTGCAGGCTAATTACTCGCATAATTGCACTGATAACTAGGCATTTCCTAGCGTAAATCTTGAAGAATTTTTTCCCAGCGTTGCCTTTCAAATTTAATTATTATGCTAATAATTCGTGGTTTGCCGAAAAAAGGCGATTTGAATATGTCATGTCACCGCTAACAAATTTAAATTGTGGTCAATTTGTTAAAATTGGAATGAATCGAATGTGCTGAATTAAGTGAAAGTGATAACGCTGTTTATGCGTTGTGTATATTCCAAAATGTTCTGTACCGGAAGACATAAATTTAAATTACATACTTATTTTGACTTGAATGTAATCATTTTAAGAATTAATTGATTGAGTTGGTTTGGAATGAATTAATTAAGTCGAATTTAAATTAGATGTAAAATAGGTACAGCATAATAATTAATGATAAGACATGAAGCAATTAAATTAGTTTAAATTAGGTTTTAAAAAATGACTCGATTTAATTTAAATTAAAACAAGCTAATGATAATTAAAAATTCTCATGTAGCTGTATTAACCTTAATCGGTTTAGTTTGCGCAGTAATTTTTCGTGGCATTAATCGGTCCAAGATTAAGTGAGTTTAAAAGAGAAATTGTACAATTACGGACTCAAGACGATAATAATTGTCAATCAGACTTAGCTACAATAATAATAGCTATTTTTTTCAGGATGGACAACGTGGTGATGGCCAAATAATCGGGACTCAACAGAGCATTTGAACGACTCGTCTGCTGAAACAGAATAACTCATTAAAATTATTAGTTCGCATGAGTGCTTTGGGAATATTTATGCCACCCACCTCATTTTGACTCACGAGAACATGAGTAACATTCTTAGGAGCTCCCGTATGACGCGTGGGCGTTTCTCGGGGGGTCTGGAGTCTTCACTTTCGGAAAAGGAACACAACATGGATAAAAAAGCGAGCTATAACGTGGTAACTGATAGAAATGAAATGATAACTAATTTCTAGAAAGTCATTCTGAACTGATTTTATTTAGTGGAGCCAAGTCGTGGAAAAACCTGAACAATAAAACTTTTTATATTTTTTAAATGGATTTAGATCGTCTGAAAGTGGATGTTTAATTTGATCACGAACATTAATTAGTGAATGTGATACCCACGCAGTGTGCATTTGTTTTTGTTAATGTGTGTTTTCAGACTGCGCAAACAATATAGATATTTTGAGAAAATTAATTATGTATTAACTTAAGTTTCTTAATTTCTTAATTGGGTGATTGGGTCTTAAATGTAAGTCGTGCCGTTATTGATGAGGTCAAGATAAATCTCTTTGAAGTCATAACCTACTCCGGTGAAGTTTTTACACTGTTTCTTATAAAAACACTCCATCTACAATTCAGAAACAAGACTTCGTCTTGTACTAAAGTTTTTCCGAAAACATGACGTCCTTTCACTCACGTTCTCGAACTGTCATGTTTTTGAAAAATACACCATGTTCTAATAAAACTTAAACCACTGTTATCACATCATTTATAGTATATAAAACTATCATGTTAAGAAGTTTGGAGCTGTGAATACGTGATTAATAATTCATTTATGGCGATGATATTTTACAGAGTTTGTATTTATTAAAAAAAAAAAAAAAAACGCAGCGAAAGGCGAAGTGTTTTGATGTAATATCTAAAATAAAATAAATATCTGCTTTTGTATAAAATCAGGTTACACAGAAAGTGTTAACCAAATTACGGAAAATCTTCTTTTATTATATACTTTTTTTTATTAATCCAGGAATTAAGACACATAAAAAGGACTTTAAATTAGCAAAACAGAGCTTGTGATGACGACCGTCATCATTCCTTCGAGGTTCTTTCACTTTAATTACGTATAATAGTGTACGTTCTTACGGACATATCTAATTAATAATTACGCACTACTTCAGTGCAATAATGTTCAATTATAAGTACTTAGCACAAATGATAGTTAATTTTGTTGAACATTCTTACTTTCGCAAGAAATGTTTTTTCATTCGCAAATAAAATCAGTTCATGTTTTTGTTTAGAGTATAATTTTATGTTTAGTCTTAAATTTTTTTGGGCGTAAAGTGACTATTAATGAACGTATTTGAAAGTGGACAGGTTTTATATTCCAAAATTTTGTACTTCTTCATTTGCTGGACCTATAAAAAACTAGTTCCAATTAAAATTTAACCATAATTATTACTACGCTGCCGTTATCCTTTATTTTCCATAAATATACGAATTTGCGGAAATATCAAGTTAAACAGACTGAATTGTTGCAAAAGCACGAATGTACAGATTTGTTATGTTTTAAATGTGTTAAATTAACAGTAATAATGCATTTCACTATTTCACGTTTGAAATTTCTGTACATATTTGGCGTCTCACTGGATTAACAATGAAAATTATAATCATATTTGCATTTTCATCTCTGAACTGTTTGCAGGATATTATAAATTCCAAGTTTATTTTGAATAATAAATTAATAAATTTCCATGGACACACGATAATATGCTGCAGCAGGACTGTAACTGGTATGATAAGCATGTTTTATGGTAGAAATGTACAAAATATTCTTGAAATAAAACCGAACTGCGCGTCGAACAGCGAACTATTTGCATAAACTAACTCAAAATTATCCGCGTTTAAATTTAATAACTCCAGTTTGGTAGTTATTTTTCGATTCGTCTTGTGGTCCTTCTTTGTTAAAAATGGTCCACAATTGCGACTGCATTAATTTAATCGTGGTCGATTACCAGTATTAATAAGTATGAGTGGAAATTAGCGTTGGTTTTATCGCTAATGTGTCCGATTAAAAGAAGGCGCGTAGTTGTCAGCATCTTATCTGTGTCGCATTAGTCGAATCCCGGAGTCCGTGACAAGGTAACGTCTCAATTCCAGATAAAACCTCCCAGACGAGTCCTCGATCTAATTAGCGAGTCGGAATCTTTCCATAAATCATTATCATTCCGGTTAAGTGTCGGTATTATCTAAGACCCACTCACTGAATAAAACAACACGTAAGTTTCATTAGCTAACAGGATGAGATGTGAGTGTGGATCGTTGTTCATTTCTTGCTAAGGCGCTGTTGCGATAGGTAATATAGATCTAAAGTCTACTTAAGATAAGGAGGGTGTCGCAAAAAATATTACAGTAAGAATGGCACGTTTTTATTTAAAATTCGGAATTAATTTTTTGTGTTTTTGATGTAGAATGATTAGTCCTTAATTATATTGTTAGACTTTGGAGTCACTAATCCTGAATTTTGCGGTGAAGAATAGGGGTTATAAAGGTAAGTAAGGTATTAATTTTTTAAAATATACAAAATACGACAAACCCTAACAATGTAACTAATAAGTTGTATTATTATTAACTTCTTTAACCCCCCAAAAAATTACAAATACTTATATTTTGTTCTCAGTTTAGCCGAATAGTTTTAAAATTGGCACCTTTGGCTGGATTTGAACTTGTAGACTGTTACCACTAAGCTGATAGCTCTGCACATTTGATGTAGTTCACAACACATTCAAGTCCCATTTGTGATGCCATCTACTGAAGAAAACAGAAATTATTTAATTCAATATGTAATAAAATTCTAATTAATTTTTATATACTCGAATTCAAGATTCAAAACGATCTTTGTAGTCTACTGATGAAAACAGAGTGTTAAGTATACAGGTGATCCAAAAATGACGAAAACTCTCGACGGTAGGTTAAGAACTCTGAAGAACTTTCAAAACATGATTAACAAAATCTTTGAACTAAATTTTTGAAAATATTAAACTTCAAAGTTAAAGAATGACTTCGTAATTCTCAGAAGTTTGAATTTGATTGACAGTCTAAAATTCTGATACAAAAATTGTCAAAAATGAATATATCAACAGTAAAAATATTAAATTACTAATAATTAATTATTTAACTGTCTATTAGACATGCAGTTTATTAAAACAAATCAGAATCACGAAGTTCTGCAACTTTGACGTTTAATATTTTCAATGCAAGGTTTTGTTTCAAGTTTCTCAGAACCTTCTTAAGAAGGTACTTTTCCGTGCTTTTCCGGTCATTTTTGATCATCCGATATATATGATTGATATCTGCAAAAGAAGATTATTTATTTAAATCGCTTTGAATATACTGGGTGTCTGGAAAATGGCAGATTAACTCTCCGCTATGCTCTTAACAATGAACTGGTGAGACTGGGCAAAATAGTAAAAAAAATCCTTCACACATTTTGGTGGAGTTATAATAATTTTAAAATTGTTTTTTTTGCTACGTTTAACAACTAAACAACACATTCATTATAACAATAACTAGCAATAAAATTTTTAGTTCATATTTCTCTCACCCATGACCATGTATGTTTAATGAGTAATTACCATTTCAGTTAGAATGTACAAAAATATGGTTGTGTTGTTTTTGCAATAATTTGATAAAATTCGATTTGACAACAATGTTTGTCTGATATAAAGCGAAGGTACAAATCAGCAAAATTCGAGTAAGCAGTTAAAAATGTTTGATGTATGAAAAATTGTCAAAGTTTTCAAAACCCTACATTTAAAATGGTCGCAGTTAATTTTAGGTCCCCTGGTGTTTTATTTTCGGAAAAAAATATATTTAAAGCCCCGCCCACCCGCGCTCTGTTTTCTTAGAGGGTATCTCATTTGCCAAAATCAGTCTTGTTTTAGAAGCTACTAGCCCCGCCCACCAACCCTCTCATTTTTTAGAAGGTATCTCATTTGCCAAACTCAATCCTATCTCAGCAGCTACTAACCCCGCCCACCCCCACCCTCTGTTTTCTTTTTTGTCAAAATCAGTTTTATCTTAGCAAGTACTGATGACTAACTTTTACAAAAAATGATCAAAATTTGGAAATATTACGAGCTTACTTATATGCACAAAGCAGAAATCTTGATTATATTCTCTAGTGTTTACTTGGTAATGGACTTATAAATTTCTGATACAATGTTTTTTCTGGTTTATTTATTAATGAAAAATAACAGCTTATTTTATTAATAATAATGCACAACGATTAATGACTACTGGTTGTTATGGTTATTAGTGGATTTCAGTCACCATCGTTATTAAGAAATCAAAAAGTAAGCCGTACGTATTCACGCAGTAGGTGCGTGCAGTGTTGCCAATTTGACTTTTATAAAATTACCCTTTTTTAGTAAATTACATGACAAAGAATGTTTTTATTATTTTTTTGGGACTCCCGAAACCCCCGTATATAATTTAAATCCGCCATTTTCCAGACACCCGGTATAAAGAAAGATTATAAACAGTTATAAACACATCCAGGTTTTAGAATTTCTAATATAATATTTCTGAAAAATTCACGCATGTGATGTTTTTGGTTCAAGTTGTAGTGTTTCTTCAGTTTCCAATAATAAATCTAAAAAAATAGTCTTACGTTAGTAAACAGAACTTCCCTGGCCCCTGAAGTGAAACAAACCTAGTGCTTTAGAAAAAAAATATAGGTAATACCAGTCACAGTGAAAAAAAAAGTGATCCATGACGGGATCGAACCCGCGACATTTGTGTTATGCACAAGACTCTAAACACCTGAGCTTTATGGACGATCCACTTCGTTCCGCTGGTCTTAGTATAAAAGGTTGTTATACAATTTGGATTTTTTGCGAAAATCTAGACCCCTAGGGTATAAAATGGAAGCCGATTCATAAACGACAAGTACAGAAGTATGTTATTTTCTAAAATTTAAATAACCTTTACTATGCAAAACTTGAACGTTGGAGGTGATGACATCAAATTGTAGTGTGGATGATTAGACAAAAAATAAAAATTGACACAGTCCATAGACAGATGGTAATAGGGGAATTATTTTTGTTACTGTACGACTAGAGTAAATATGAAAGTAACCATTCCCGGATGAAGTTTTTACAATATTTCCTCAGCTTACGCTTGGGATGTAAAAATCATTAAACGCCGAAGTAGATGGAACATATAATATCAAGTGTGATATGTTGGTTTTAAATATATGTTTCTTTTAAATATCTGTTGAAATGACACAACTGATTTCAATAATTTTGTATAAAAATTAATCAAAGCAGTAGAATAACATCAAAGACTGTCCAGTTGTATGAACTGTATTTTGGTTGTCTGCTGGAACTCGTATACAATATTGTATCCATATAATTTTCAAATGGAATGAGAGCTTATATATCGACTATATCGTATTAATATCTTTACTAGCATCTTTAAATTTCATGGAATGTGATATTCTTTCCTATGACTCAAAATCTAAAATATTCAATAAGAAAAAGTAATTATTTCAATCGAAATGTTCCTCTGTTGAGATGAAATCTGAGGGTTAGTGAAGGTGAAGGTGACGGGGATGGTGTGGGTTTCCCCAATATCGTAGTGGGGTATGTACGTCAGGGCTGCGTCTTCTACAGGGCTGGTTGCTCGAGCGCACATCTGGAGTACCCTAGCCGGAGAAACGGATCTCCAGTGGCTCTCGTGAGCGACCGCGACGGGGCTGTTTTCGATCCTGGGGAAGCGGTAACGCTGAAATGGGAACGGTACGCCGAAAAGGCTTGCTTATCGACTCTTATCGGTCCATGTCGGTGGCAACTGCACACAGGAAAGAAACGGAAACGGATCGCTTGGGGAAAAAAATCTTGGTCACTTCTCCACGTCCAAAGACTTCAGACTTCACTCTTTTACAGTCCAAGGCTCAATCCATGCCCCTGGTACACTTATCTTAGGTTCCGGTCTGCCAAAAAATTCGTTTGCTTCGTTATACTGTTTAGAGAAAAGACTAATATGATGCCCAAGACGAACCACGATTTTCGGTTAAAATATGGTTTGTCTCTTTTAAGACCTACAACAACAACATACTTTTTCAAACTGTCGACTTAATTAGTCCTTTTTCATAACGAAAATCCAAAATATTCTATTTTTGTGGTTCATGTGGTAAATAAAAAAAAATATTCTGACATATGTAAACGAAACTAACTGTGATGAACACTTGTGGAAACTTGAAAAAGGCTGGATTTGAATGGAATTAGACTGTATAGAATTTGGTTACTTTTTGTGTTTTTGAGGTACTAATTCGCTGAAAATTATGTCAAGGGTGACTTGAATAATTAAAGGTGGAGTTACATCCTCGTGTGAACCCATGAAAATACTCTTCCTTCTTTCAACATAAAAGCACCTTTCAACAAATACAATTTCTTGGGCAAATTTCACAAAAAAATCTGAAAATGTGGCTGGATTTACAAACACACACAGATAAATATTGTGACACATTTTAGATTTTAGAATTTATTTACGAAACATTTGACCACCATCAAAGTTTTTTTGGGAATCGATTGACACATGTTAAATTTCAGAGTTGCTCTAATATTTAGTTGTTTCTCAAAATATTAAAAAACTCTATTGTACTCCTACAATTTTGATTTTTTCACAAAAATATGCACACATAGGTTTAAAAATATGGATATAAATAAACCTAATAATAAATATAATAAAATAAACCTGATAATGTTAAAACGTTGATTTTTTTCAAAAAGCCTGGACATACACTTGCGAGCATTGAAATCGGGCCACACAAATCGGGCCACTATTCACATCTGATTTTGAATCAAATTTTCCACCGAATTATATTACATTTAAAGAAACTAAAAAAGCCATTAGAAAGACCAGATGTTTGTCTTTAAAACAGAGTTAGGAAAAACTTCATGAAATTGTTTTGCAATGTTCTTTTTTGGACAAAAAAAAAGTTCAATAACGAAATTTTTTATGTTAACAAAATCAACAATTTAAAGAAGAAAATGATATTAATATTCGGTGTTGCCACCCCTAGCTCTAATAACCGCTCGCATTCGTCATTGACTCAATTAAGATGACGACAACTTCTTGCGGGATATTAGCCCATTCTTCTTCAATGGCTATTCTGAGCTCTTGGAGTGACCCAGGAGCCGGGATCCTATCTCTAATTCTTCGTTTAAGTTCATCCCACAAATGTTCTATAGGATTCATATCTGGGCTACGTACTGCCCAGTCCAAACACGCTATAGGCTATATTTGAATAGTGGCCCGATTTTAATGCTTGCAAGTTTATAATAAGGCAAAAAATAAGGTGCATTAATGAAGACAACAAGTACAGAAACGTATTGTTTTAAAAAATTTGAATGGGATTTACCTCTTTCTAATCGTCTAATCTATTAATAAAATCCCCAAAAGACAGATTTTATAGACAAACTATCTATAAAAATGACAAAAATGTCAAATGGTCTCTATTGCAATACTTCCCCAGCTTACGCTCAGGAAACAAACAGTGAACGAATTAAACATGCTGTCAAAGCCAGCGCTAAAACCCATTTTAAAACTTTCACTTCTTAATTAAAATATCCTTCGAAATCGGCGCTGTAATATAGAAAAAAAGATATCTTACTCGGGCCACAAATTTAAGAGATCGTTTTGTGGCAACTTGGATAAGAAGCTTAACCTATGTAAATCTTAAAAAAAAATCTTTTAATTTTGATGTAGTATCCACAATAATTCCTAAATAACTATAGATAAATGGGTTGTCAGAAGTCACTAAACATTTTCTGCATTCACACTGAATTTTTCACTGCAAAGTTTCATGAAATGAATTACGAGTGAAGTGAAGGATTTCCACGAGACGTTAAAATAATGGACAACGGATATCAAGGTTCCTGAAAGGATTCAGTGGTAACAGGTTTCTTTTATCACGTCCTGAAATATCTAACTTCTGTTTTAAAGTGATTTTCTTTGATTCCAGTTATTCACTGAACTTGCTTCATTGTGTGATCGAATCAAATTTACGGATAAACTTATGTCCAATGCAAATTTGTACGTTCGTCAATAT